AGGGTTAAAATAACAGGATTATTTATTTGCAAGGAATGATCTGATCATCTCTAGCTGATGGCTTATAGGACAGACATCATAACATTGAGAGAGAGAGGAACAATAGAGTCAAATATAGATGGGCAGATGGTGGTTAAAAATGGAGAACATGAAATCAGCATAACCGTAGAAGGAAAGCAAAATTCTTACAAAATGCCTCCATACACTAGACAACAAGGGCTAATCTTTCAAATACTGTGCCTAATTAGCATATGAAATTAGGGCCTACTCCATTCCATGGATTTCAGTGGGCACTGCATCAGGCCCTGAGTGTGACTGCATGTAAAAACTCTGACTTTGGGCTAGACAATTAAGGACACCTTTGCAGACTTGCAATTTTGAAAATTAGTCCTTCAGTACCCTTCACAAATATTGTACATGATACAGAGCATGGTCAAGAAATACACAAAATTCAAACAGAAAATACCAATCCATAATGTACGGAGTGTGTAAAAGACCAAAAAAGTAACCCGTAAAATAGGATGATATGCGAGGCAATCATTTTTTTCAGTTAGCTTTCTAGATTATATGCATTTGAGCCTCTCATTTTCTTTAATAATTTTATTAATCCAGTTCCTTTTCAAGTTATCCTCCACAATTATGTAATAGCAAAGTAAAAAAAGGATCCCAAAGTATTGTGTTATTAAAATTTGTCCTTGTAGTAAGTGGCAATCAGAAGCATAGGTACAGAAAGTAGGGGTGTGTGGGGTGCTGCAGCATCCCCAGGTTTTATGCAGGGCCACTGGCCCCACGCCCAGGGCTCCACTCCCCGGCTTGGGTGCTGGGGGCCAGTCCCGTGGCCTGCTCCCCAGCCGCTGGCTCCACACATAAAACCTGGGGGTGCTTCCTGCGCCTGTTCCCTGATCCCAGCCCTCCGCCTGCACTCTGCTGGCCCCACTCCCCGACTGCTGGCCAGGGCCCGCACACAGGGCCTGGCCCGCCCGCTCCGCTCCCCAGCCTCCACTCTCTGTGGCTCTGTGCCTGGCCGCACCCCCCCACTCTCAGCCTCCACTCCCAAGGCCCTGCACCCGGCCAGGGCTCTGCTCTTGGCCTCGCACGTGGGGTCCCAGCTGCAGGCCCCTGCCCGGGGATCCGTTCCTACCCCCACGCCGGCCTCCAGCTATGGCCTCGGCCACCTTACCCATGTCCGGGTCCCCCCCTCCCGGAGACACAGCCCTGCTCCCAGCCTCAGCTCGGGGGGGCAGCACGGACAGGAGTAAGGGGTCTGGCTTTCAGCACCCCCACTACTAAAAATGTTCTAGCGCCCCTGATCAGAAGTCAGTGTCATCACACATGACTATTATCCAAAACATACAAACAAACAAAAATCAGACTTTGCATCATTTTTAACTATATCTAAATTTTGTTGTATTGTAAGGACTAAAGCCTGCCAAATTAATGCTTCTATTTGAAATTGTTATGCAAGGCCTTATTATTGCTGAAGCATTAATTTTTTTTTTAAATGTGTTCAAACTAAAGCTCATGGTGAAAGTAATTTGTAATATGATGCTGTGTGGAATAGTCAGACATGCCCGTCTGCAGGACTTATGGGAACCATAAAGAGATTAAACCTCTCATTCCTCGCTTTGGCAAGTGATCTGTTACTTTTAAATAAAGGTCAATCTGTCTTTACAAAGAACACAGTGAAAGCAAGCTTAATAGTTTTCCCTACCGAACCTAGAACATAACTATTTAAAACATAATTAACAACGGGGTGGCAGTCACTGATTGTAGTTTTTCCTTTTTCTATGTCTGGGAAGTTTGGGCATCCCCAATTAGTTTTAATAGGGGGCACTATACTAGCTATCAAATTGACAGTCTTGACCTGCCCTCCAGAAGCAGCTGTAAAACAATATTTGGACAAATTAAGATAAATGCCTCATCGGAAAGATGACTAATATTACTAGAAAATGGATATTCATGTTTTATTCCATGATGTAGGGGTTTTTTTAATCTGATCTGCATGAGGGCAAGCACTCTGTTACTGTAAATAAGAGATGCTGGAGAGAAAAGACACTAGTTACATTAACTCATTTTAGTTCCATATTTCAAATTTCTCTTTTGTTTAAAAGTATCTGTGACTAGTGAGTTCATTGTTTTCCGTTATTACCAGAATGAACAGCCATGCCATCAACTCAAAACATAGATATGCTAATGCCTGCATCAAGGCCAGGGTTATCACATCGGTTTGGGGGATATTCTGATTATGTAAAGGGGAGTGACTATAAGAACTACTTAGGCAGGGGTGTCAAACATACAGCTCACAGGCCGATCTAGCCAATGGTATGTATGTATGTGGCCTTCATGACACACAGATGCTCAAGAATCGATTTATTTTTTAAGAAAATTTTCAGCGCTAATGGCAGCAGAGAGAACCTTCCAAATGTGAACCAAATGTAATCAATGCAAAGGTGTCTGCCCAAGTTTGCAGACAGTATGAAACAATAGTGCAGAGATTGAATGCCCCTGACCCTGAGACAATGATTACAGTCCAATTTACACTTTTGTGCCCTTACTAAATATGTTTTAATCACTGAACATTGTTAGTGGAAGGAATGAGGACGAAGATCAGAACAAAGCAAGCCTACCGGGTTGGGAATTGGGCGTTACTGAACAGAAAGAAATGCAGAGAAAAAAGCAGAGTAGACTCACAAAGGCAGGGATGGGGAAGCAACACAGAGAAAGCAGGAAGGGAAAGGCAGAAAAACAAAGGGAAATGCAGTGGCTGGCCCAAAGAGGGTAAGACTTACCACTGAATGACAAATGCAACAAGAAGAAGAAATCATAACTAACTAAATTTTTAGGCCCAAATTCACAAAGGGAGTTAGGCATGAGTCACCTAAGCTAGCCAATGGGAGTTGATGTCAAGAGGGGAGTATCCTAAACCCCATCCCTCTCAGAGTCAGGCACCTAAGCTGCTTGACTCTAGGAAAGAGGATCCCAGTTCATGGCTCACCAGTGAGACAGGCACTTCCCTGCAGTCTGGACTTAGCACCTAAGTCAGTTTCTGAGAGAATGAGTTAGATCCTGCCTCACTCCACACAAAAGAGCCAGAGAAGGTGGTGTCACCACCACCCATCTTATAACCTCTAGTTGAGTGGTTAGAGCACTCACCAGTGATGTGGGAGACCCATGTTCAATTCACCCCTCTGCTGAGGTGGGGAAATGATTTGAACAGGGGTCTCTGATCCCTTGGGAGTTGCAGGCTCTAACCACTGAGCTATAGGATATTCTGATGTGGGAATCTCTCCCATTGAAGCTGTTCCACTGTGGATAAACACTTAAAGAGTCATTGGGTGAGAAAGTGTGAGCATGATTCTTCAGGTTAGTGTTTAGAGCACTCACCTGACAGTGTGAGACCCAGTCCCCCTGCTGCAATGAATCCCACCCTTAGTTCCTACATAAAAACCATATTTTTCATTTGATCTCTGTGCAAACTTCAAACTGAAGCCAATGTGCATTTCACTGTGAGAACTATACAGTTCAGAATATACACCCAGTCCCAGGCCCATAATTAGCTTAGAATTTAGCCTGGGGGGGCTCAAGGAGTTGGTAAAGGCCTGCAAAGACATTGTCAAATGATCTAAGCCTAGGACTACTGTCCCAGAAATCCTGAGTCTAAACACTGGTGCCCCTTGTAGAGTCACTCTATCTCAGTTTTCCTATTTCAAATCAGTTTAGTACTTACTCACCTCCCAGGAGTGTATTTTTAGGATTGATTAGGTATCAATCAGCTGGCATTTTACAAACTTCAACTTATTTATAAGCGTTATTTTTACAGAACTTTTCTCCTCTAAAATACATCTAGTTGTGTCTCATAACCGTTCCCATCTGATAGCTCTTTAGTGATGTATGTGAAATGAGTCTGTGTTTGCAGTTTAGTTCTGCTGCAAGTGAGCAGATGTCCACATCACCAAAACTATCATCAGAACTGATACCTTTGTTGGCAGGTCACAATAGAGAGACCAAGGATTTAATGGGCATATAGAACAAAAGAACCAGAGACACAGGGAAAGCCATGCGTTTTGCCAATCCTATATTTGTTCTGTGGTTAAATAGAGGATTTCAGGCCCCAGGTTTTACAGTTCAGCTCTTTCATGAACACTATATTTATTTTAAGAGGTAATTAAATAAACTTACAACATTTAGGGGTTGGTGAAAAATTAAATGGATCTGCATTTAGTTTTACAAACTGTGTAAGTATACACATTAAAGTAAGAAAAATAAAGCATTATGTAGTTTTGTACATATAAGCTTATTATAATCCCCATTAATTCTGCCTTTCTGCTTTTGTAAAATTTATTCATGCTTTTTTGTTTGCTACATTTCTATGATTTATCTTTTTTCTAGCCAGAGGACATGGCAAGGGACTGGGAAAGTCTGTGATTGATTCACCCAGCAAAACTCAACTCAGATACAGCATTCCTTCACTTTATTTTTTCCTAGTTTTTCAGCAAGAAGACCCAAATAATGCCCAAGCTCTTCTGGTTCCTAATCGCTTGTTCTAATCACCAGTCAGATCCCACCACCTGAAAACATTACAAACTTATTGAATTTCAAACCATCCTCCATCTCAGGCGCTCTTGAAAACTATAAAACCAATGGCTGAGAAAAATAAATATTTTACCTGGTTACCACCAACCCAGTCACACTGATGTGTGGAAACTCTAGTGAACTCTTTACAAAGACATTAGGCTTCCACATGTTGATCCTTACCAAAAATACATGATGAAGATACTTGGGTTTGCTAACTGCTTTTTTCATGATTAATGTGCTTCTGCAATTTACAAAATCTTAATATTTTTTTATTCCACAAGACCTTTGCTACTTAAGTTAATGGGGGCCGATTATAACTCCTTTGTGCCTTTTAGCATGTCCATGTTAAAAAAATTTCATGCTGTTTTGCCCTTCCTGACTAAAAAGATACAGTCCTTAAACACTTGCTTTGTTCTTTATTCTAGGTCATGGGTTATATGGGACTTTTGAAATGTTGTCCTCCTGGAGGAAAACTAGAGAAGACCAACATGTTAAAGAGAGAACTGCAGCTGTGTTTGCAGACTCCATGCTCTCCTTTTCTCTCACCACTGCCATGTACCTGGTCACTTTTGGAATAGGTGCCAGTCCCTTCACTAACATTGAAGCAGCAAGGATTTTCTGCTGCAATTCCTGTATTGCAATTTTCTTCAACTACCTCTACGTACTCTCCTTTTATGGTTCCAGCCTGGTGTTTACTGGCTACATAGAAAACAACTACCAGCATAGTATCTTCTGCAGAAAGGTACCAAAGCCAGAGGTATTGCAAGAGAAGCCTGCATGGTATAGGTTTCTTCTGACAGCCAAATTCAGCGAGGACACAACCGATTCAGAGGAAACAAATACTTATGAAAGTCATCTTTTGGTGTGTTTCCTCAAACGCTATTACTGTGACTGGATAACAAACACTTACGTCAAGCCTTTTGTAGTTCTCTTTTACCTTATTTATATTTCCTTTGCCTTAATGGGCTACCTGCAGGTCAATGAAGGGTCAGACCTTAGTAACATCGTAGCAACCGCGACACGAACCATTGAATACACTACTGCCCAGCAAAAGTATTTCAGTAACTACAGCCCAGTCATTGGGTTTTATATCTATGAGTCAATAGAATATTGGAACACAAGCGTTCAAGAAGATGTGCTAGAATATACTAAAGGGTTTGTGAGGATATCTTGGTTTGAGAGCTATTTAAATTATCTTAGGAAACTCAACATATCTACTGGATTGCCCAAAAAGAATTTTACTGACATGTTGAGGAACTCTTTCCTGAAAGCCCCCCAGTATGCCCATTTTTCAGAGGATATCATCTTTTCCAAAAAATACAACAACGAAGTTGATGTAGTAGCTTCAAGGATGTTCTTGGTGGCTAAGACAATGGAAACCAAGAGAGAAGAACTCTATGATCTCCTGGAAACCTTGAGGAAACTCTCTCTCACATCCAAGGTGAAATTCATCGTTTTCAATCCATCATTCGTATACATGGATCGTTACGCCTCCTCAGTGGGAGCCCCCTTACAAAATTCCTGCATCAGTGCTTTATTTCTGCTCTTCTTCTCGGCATTCCTGGTGGCAGACTCTCTAATCAATGTCTGGCTCACTCTAACTGTTGCCTCAGTCGAATTTGGAGTCATAGGTTTCATGACCTTGTGGAAAGTGGAACTGGACTGTATTTCTGTGTTGTGCTTAATTTATGGGATTAATTATACAATTGACAACTGTGCGCCACTGTTATCAACCTTTATCCTGGGCAAAGATTTCACAAGAACTAAATGGGTAAAAAATGCCCTAGAAGTGCACGGGGTAGCTATTTTACAGAGCTACCTCTGCTATATTGTTGGTCTGATTCCTCTTGCAGCTGTGCCTTCAAATCTGACCCGTACACTGTTCAGGTGCTTGTTTTTAATAGCATTAGTCACCTTCTTTCACTGCTTTGCCATTTTACCTGTGATACTGACTTTTGTGCCACCATCCAAGAAAAAAAGGAAAGAGAAGAAGAATCCTGAAAACCGTGAGGAAATAGAGTGTGTCGAAATGGTGGATATGGATAGTACCCGAGTGGTTGACCAAATTACAACAGTTTGACTTGTTTGTTTGTTGTCTTTTCACAGTAGGTCTTATTGAGAGAAAAGAGATCATTATTGACTAAATATTGGATTTTTGATTTTTCTTTTCCTAAACTAAAACCAAGAATAGCCAAAATGGTGGGGGGGGGAGAGAAATTGTACATTAATTGGCCTCCATAACAAAGGTATTATTAGTGAAAGAATTTATACACACACGCAAAGAGTGTGAATTTTAGTCACTTGAGGTAAGATCTAATAAGGGAAGATGGGTTACTAAGCCCTGTTCTGCCTTCTCTATACTGCAGATACAGCTATTATTATTGCTGAGCCCAATCAAATTGAAAGGTCAACTGTCAAGGCTGAACTAACGCTCAGTGTTCATCCGGAGGTAAAGGCTTTACAAACTTTCTGCACAGCAATAATTCAGCTCAATGAGTCAGCTCTGATAGGTCTTAGCCATCACATTGAACTTTTCTTTTCTCTTTTCCTCGAATGAAAACATGCATGCAAGTTTGTATAACAGAAAGCAAATTGAACTAGGGAAGAAGGCTGTATGCAGCAACCAAACACTTTCAGAACAAATTTGTGTTACAAATCATTTTCTTTTCTAAAAATACAGTTATTTTAAAATGTAATTCATCCCCAAGAACATTTTTAAAGTCACGGTTTTTGTAGCTTTTCCTTTTTAAAAAAACAAAAAATGTCAGTGTCTCTGGTACGCTAGAAGATGTACGATTCTATTTTATGAATGTCTTGCTACTAGTTAAACAAGGGATCTGCTTTACCAACCGTAGTTTTGTTAGTACTGTACTAACATATACCAACGGCTCTAACAGCAGATAAAAGATGGTGTACTGAATATTTCAGCACCAAAATCCATGAAACAAACCTCAAATACCTAATGTCACCAAGGAAAAGTGAATGTTAGGGCTCCTTTAATAAGAGTCTCTTTCAGGCCATTCACTAGTAATGCACACTAAGAGGATTAATGGGTAGTTTTACATAATGTATAACTTAATCCCTCAATCTTCCTAGAGTAGCTGTAAAGCAATAGCCTTCACAGTTATGGGCTCTTCCAGGAGACAGCAGACCACAAACGTGAGTTATATATTACAGTTCAAAGGTAGGACCACACTAACAGTGTCATGTTTAACTGTCTCCCCAAAGAGCCTGTATCAAAGGGGCCTATTGAAAACACCACTTTTTTTTTTTACATTACTGAATCTTTTTGGAGCATTGTGTTCTAAATCAATAGATATGTCAGCATCTGTGATGTGGAGTAATGTGGATAAAGAAGCATCCTCACCCCCACGCCCACTTAAGAACCACAGGACATTGTTGTGAGGTTTTATACCAACACATAGGCTAATTGATTTGGTTTTGCTAGAGCAGTCTAAATTAGTCAACTAAAACCCAGTAACATGCAGCTGGCTTTTGTGCGAGATGTTCTAGTGACTATTCTCTGTTAACATCTGTCCAGAAAGTAAAAGTACTTGAAAGTATTTCAATAACTGGGAAAATGTTCACTTAACTCATGGGTCGTGGAACTCAAACCGATGTTTTCTGGTGTGTGCTTGGGCTAACGAGGGTGCTTTGGTTTCAGGAGGCTGCATGTGTTACACAATGATTAATGCATGCGTTGTAATGAATTGGTGATTTGCCCATCACTGCATAGTACTGTTCTTTAGCACTAATTCAAAATGGCTCCCATTAGACCTGTGTGAAATCTTCAGATTCCATTTTGTGAATTTTAATTTTCAAAGAGATATTTCTTACAACTTTTTGCTTAGCCAAAAATTCAGACCTTTTACCCTGAAGCAAAGTTTGATGACTATGTAGGAGCAACTGGAAGCTCTAATGCAACTTCATTCTTGGCAGAAAAACTGTCAGACATCCTCAGGCCAGTAGAAAGACAACAGAACCTGGGGATGGGTGGAAAGGTACTTTACAGACCTGTTGTTTGTTTGGGGGTTTTGTTTTGTTTTTTATATGTTCTTGAGGCTCAAGCCTTGGCCTATAGTTTCCAGCCAGATGGGAGATGGAGAGAGTTTCGGGAGCATAGAAAATCAGCTTTGTTTTAGTAAAAATTCAAGACTTTTCATGTGATTGTCTACTCTAAAGTGTGATTCTTGTCTACCTGTTTCACTTCCACTTTCATTTTTTTCCACAGAACTCTAAGCACACTGTTGCTTTTTGTGAGCTGAACTTTGAGAGTCCTTTGGAAGGTCCAATTTTTCATATCTGTTTCTGAGCTTGATGTAAGTCTTTAAATTAGGTCCCCAGATCCACATTTATTTCAAATTTTATGTGACAGTCATTATTGTCATCCAAATAACACTTAATTACTCTTCATTAGAACTGTTCAACAGATAAATACCTATTTATTGAAGTTTAAAAGCTAGTGTAACTATCAGTAGATTTACTAACATACACTATTATAAACCTCTTTACATTTAAGTTAAATGAATAGCTGGGGCTATCTTCAAGTGCTCCTGAGGGAAGAGATGGGTGTTCAAGCTTGCAGCTTCATAGGTCTCTCATTAAATCTAAGTAAAATGGGGCCTTTTGATATCTCCAAGAAAGAAGGTTAAAAAAAGTTAGAACACCTACTCTTTAGTCCCAAAATCTGCTGGAGAGAGGGTGTTGACACAAAGTGATATCATTCCCCTCAGCCCCTCAAAAACCCCACCATGAAAACTCCATGTAATGAGGTTTGGGGGTACACACATGTGGGGCTTTGCCTGGGTTTATCAGAGATTGGGAAGGTCAGGGAGGAGCTACTTCTGCAGCATCACTTCCTCAGAGAGACTCAGAAGAATTTTCACACATACATTCATCCTGACCCTTCCACTTCTATTCCCCACATTCAGAAAGAGGCTAGGCACAGTCAGGGAGCCAGGATGATTCCTTAGGATGCTCTGGGCCAAAGGCAGGCTATATTCACCACAGTATCGATTAAAATGTGTATAATTTAGGCTCATATACCAACCCAGAGCTGGGGTTAACCCTGCACAAGAGATTACCCTTAACAAACAACTACAAAACCCCAAGTGCCTGTAAAATTCTGCTCACCCTGTTTTAGAAAGCCATCTTAGTTTAAGCAACCAGTTTTTGTCACACCCTTGAGTGATCCCTTGCCACAGGTTTCACTGTGTTTTTAACTGCAGTACAGAAGATCCCTTTTCCGGGGCGGGGGGGAAGTTCAGTCAGTGTCTAACACTGTGTTACTGTCAGGCACTGACTGAAAGTTAAATGAGATAGCTTTATCTGAGGATAATAAAATATTATTCTGACTTTTTATTTTAAACAGGTCTATATATGATTACCATTCCATTCAGAACATAAATTACAAACATTAAAATTTCCATTTAATACATTATTGTTCAGAACAAATTTCTGATAATGGACAAGTATGTAAAAAAAAAAAGAAAGAAAGAAAGAAAAACCTAAATGCAAATGACCGTCAAGTTCAGTCTAGTCTTTCTTGCAAGATTATTCCCTATGGTGGCTTAACAGGAGTTCATTTTTCAGTTTACAAGTATTCCATTCTGGGAAAACACTGAGAGAGAAAAACTGGAACATCTGGAATAATTTCACTGCAAACAGAAATTGGCCAGGGCAGAATTTTCTGCCCAAAGCTTTATCAGAGTATTTTCTAGTTAGATTAAAATTAGAACTGTGAAAGCTGAGGAAAACCTGTCTGGCAAGGAACAGCTCCTTTTCAAAAACAAACAAGCTCAGTGAGGTCAGTTTTATGAGCCTAAAGGGAGAGTGCATCACTGAAGCAGCTTGATATGTCTATGAAACATACCAGCATTTGCTTCAGATCTGAGAGCCTTCCTGATCCAGGGCTGAATTCAGACAAAATGGACGAAGAAGTGGCAGGCTGTAAAGTGACAGTTTGTATTTTTAAATGCTGTTCTGGATTCACTCTCCTCCTTCCTGCCAGTTGCCACAACCTACCCCAACCAAAAATTTGATTTCCTTCGTTTAAAAAAAGTAAAATAGTTAAAGCAATGTCACAACCTGACAGTCCCTGTTAAGAATGATGCCCACATCCTTAAACAAGAGAGAAGCAAAGCCCTCTGTTAAGGCTGAGTTCTACAAAGGGAAAAACTTTAGTTATTTCTAGCTTTCAAATGTTAACAGATACATGGTTTCCTGTTTCTTAAAGTTTGAAAGTAGATAAAATTCCTACGGGCCAAATCCTCCCACAGTAGGCCTTGTATACAATTCTACTTCATGGGGCTGTAGGGACTGGAAGCAGAGGGCATGGATAAAGAGTCCAGGCTCCCTGTGCACAATGGAAGGGCTCCAGCTATCCTAGTGTGGATAGATTTTGGAGACCAGGCTGAGGTACCCACTGGGGAAAAGCAACAGAGGGTCCTGTGGCACCTTTAAGACTAACAGAAGTATTGGGAGCATAAGCTTTCGTGGGTAAGAACCTCTTCTGAGCTTGATGTAAGTCTTTAAATTAGGTCCCCAGATCCACATTTATTTCAAATTTTATGTGACAGTCATTATTGTCATCCAAATAACACTTAATTACTCTTCATTAGAACTGTTCAACAGATAAATACCTATTTATTGAAGTTTAAAAGCTAGTGTAACTATCAGTAGATTTAC